GGGGGGGGGGTTTCAGCAGGGATGCGTTAAATTGATTAAAGGTGACAGTAAAGACATTTATAATGTTAGAAAAGATTTCAAATTAATGGCTGCTGGAAATTTAGCTTTACTACAATACATAGCATTTTAAAATATATTAAACATAGAAAATAGTTACTTTAAACTGTAATAATATTTTACAATATTACTGTTCTTACTCTATTTTTATCAAAAAATGTAGCCTTGATGATCATAAAACAATTATTTCAACAACATTAAAAAATCTTACTGACCTCATACTTCTGAACAGTAGTGTAACATGTAGAAAGTGTACTAAATGAACAACTCTGACCTAATCGTTTAAGTAAACGGACTCATTAGACTCACTGGGATTAATAAAAATCCCTTATTTATTTCTTGCACTGACTCATTGCTTATTAAAACAGCAAGTTTGTGAGACATATCACACTTTTGTCCAAGAGCTAAACACAAAGCCACAAAACTCTCATTTTGATTTCATGAGCTCTTTAAGGTAAAAAATGTTTCACCTTTTACCATGTGACCTGTCCTCATTAAGAGTAATGTGTAACATGCAGGGCAAAGCCTTTAGGTGACTACCCAAAGGCCCAGAGATAAAGCCATCTAAAAGTAACAAATAAATCTAAAGAAGCATTCGGTTTCAGGCCAAGAAATTATTCAGGTCTTACTTTATGATTCATTAAACACCATAAGCATTCGGCCAGACAATGAAGCAAATATATCCACTATAAAGTTTTTTGAAATGTAACGATCTATATAAGGAGGTTAAATAAGTTCTGTGTGCTTTTATCAGATGTTTTGGGAAGACTCAGACATATTTATTGAGTGCGGAGTGGTTCCGAGAATAAGAAAAGGTTAGCTGTCAGCAGAGATGTATGTTAGTGAAAGGTCACACAACACATAGGGACATGGCCAGCAAACAGGGAAAAACGATGGCAGACAGGCCGGTTCTTCCCACACTGGTGTCCTACCTTCTTTGGCAGGGGGGATGGTGGGAGGAGGGATCGTGGTGGGTGGTGTGGTCGGTGGCTGGGTGGGTGCTGGAGCTGCAGAAACAACAAAACAACACATAAACCAGAGCAGGGCCTGGCTGTCTGCACTTTATTACACACACACAATCAGATTTGTGATCTCAACGGAAATCCAATTGTACAAGAAATAGGACACACTGCTCTACTGATGGTGGTTCAGTCTGTTTCTCAGGCAGTGATTGAGTGTATGTGGTCAAGGGAGGATGTTGTTTTCAGTACTTGGCTGGAAATGACCTGCATCATTGAAGTGTTTCTACCGCCTAATTGACACGCTAACGTGTGTGTTATATACACTGAAACTTGTACAGTGAACAATCCCCATAAACTGCAAAATTATGCTCTTAATCATTATTTTTATCTTTATTGAGTTTTCCAGTAAAAATATCTAAACATGCCAACAAATATACTGTATGTCATATATAATATATTGGGTGAATTCAGGTAAACTGGGAACATTTTGAAAGAAGTAATTAAAAGTTACATTAAGATTATCACTTAAAATAAGACTTTGCCAATGGAGATAGCAAATTTTTCATATTTTAAAGATGTTTAGGAAAACAAGACCAAATAATTTATGGAGGAGGATCATGATCAAAGAATGCTGATAAAATCTGATGAGGCCACATATTGACATCTTTGTTTTTTGTTGCAAATGGCAATTAGGTTTTCAGCTGTTAAAATTTTATTATTTTTATATTTTATATTATTTTTGTGTTTATGAATGCTTCAGTCAGTCTCATGGAAGCCCATTTCTGCTACAGAAAAAAAAAAAAAAGGTGTAGCATCTAACCTTAGTTAACACCCCAGTAAATCTTATTAAGGACAGATGTCCATATTTAATCTACAAGGTTATGATGGGATAGACAACCGTAGAATCAATCCTTCACAGTCTCATATTCATTCACAATTAAATATGGTGTGCACCCTGATTAAAAGTCTATAGAGTTATTATTGCCATGCAAAATATATAGTTATCAGAGTGTATTTACCAGTGGTTGCCATTGTGGTGACGGCAGGACCCTCTGTGTCCTGTAAAAGACTGTAGACGCTGATCTTGTACTGGGTGTCGGGGGAAAGGTTGAAGAAGCACTCTCTAGATGCACCACCACCGACCCTCACTTCCTGTTTCTGACCGTCTGCGAAAAAAAAAGTTAAAACAGCAGGATTGGCATTCAAGCAACAATCAAAATAAAATAAAATGCAATCACAACAGCGTTCTCAAGCAAACAATTGTGCTAATTAATCACACAGTACCATTCAAGTCCTCAGGCTATAAACGAAGCCTGAAGTTGGAAATGACAGAAGTGGCACCACAGCAGCTCGCCGAAGTGTTGTTATTTTTAACAGGCATGTGTTGTTGCTCACAAACTGGTCGTTTAAATGAAGGGAACTATGAGTAAATCATGTTTTAGGAAATGCAATACTCAAATCCCAGGGTACAAGGTAGCAGAACTGCTATTTATCACCTTCATAGCTGTAATTATTTTCCAAAGCTGAGAAAATGATCAGTGCTTGGTCTCAGGAAGGGTAACCTTGTATTCAGACCATAAAGTTCAACGGAGAGGTCTTTAATTGTTTTAATCGGAGGCTGAAGACTGCAGGGAAATGGGTGAACCAATGAATGATAAGCAGCCCAAAGCTTGGGTTAAATGAAAGAAACCAATATTTTCATTCTTTTCGATTTCTTTTCTTTCTAAATGTGAAGGTGTTCTCGCTGACGCCGACTGTTTTTCTTTCTGGTTTTCTCTTTTTCTACATATCTATCCATCGATTTTTTGTTTTGTTTGTGATGACAGACATTAATATTCAGCTTGACGTGGTTCATACATCTTAATTTGTCTGCCATTAAACAGCTGCGTCCATGGGGAATATAACCGGCTGGGCTGTTCAGAAGCAGTATTATATCACTATTAAATAAGAAAAAAACAAGAAAAGGGTTTTCTTTAATAAGATATTTCCCAAAGCACCTTCTTTTCAACCATGATCTTAAAAAAAAAAGTCTCTGGAGTGCATTATGCAAAAAATTAAGATTTATTAAGTCATTTTCCAATGATAATGTGGACTGCAAAAATTGGAATTTGGTAATAAGATCAACAATATTCCCTTGCTCAGACATGCTTTGATTGCGGAGCTGATCAAACAATGGGATGTGACATTTGCCTATTACATTCCCGCTCTATGGAAAAGTAGCTGGCAAGCGCTCCGGCTCGGCTCAGTAAACATCTATCCTCCTTTAAGCGTTTGTTTCAACAGACTGCACTTCTCAGTCCAGTCACATCTCTGGCACAAGCAGGACAGTTCCTCCCCTTCCTCGCATTTGCACGCAGGAACGCTTCACTTCACCATGAGCTCTCGGTGCAGAAGAGTCATATGTGTGGCTGAAATTCCACAGCCAAATTCTCCCAATGAGTAAGATGCAAATAAAGAATCCGCTGTTCCTACTGGTTACCAAAGTTTGGACATTATTTGACTAGAAGAACGCCAAAAGGAAGGCAGCGGGGATCTTAGTACTGCAAAATACACATATATTCACACTTCGTCTTCTCACACACTTCAGCAGTAGTTTTGATATATTTTTGCGTAGGCATAGTTTACCATGACTACAGGGTAATAAGCTGTCTCCGTTATTCTTCAATTACAACTTTTTTCTCCACCACTTTAACAAAAATCTTTCTTATTTGGAAAAACAGATTGATTTAAACTATTATTATTGTATTATATTATATTACATTATATTATGTTACATTCACTTTTAGTTTATAAAAGTTTGACAGAATTTCTACGTTATCATTTTTTTTTCAAAGAAGACTCTTATGCTAACCAAGGCTGCATTTATGTGATCAAAAATACAGTAAAATCAGTAAGACTGTGTTAGATTGTTACAATTTTAAAATAATATTTTCTATTTATTTTCTTTTTTAATATAATTTAAAATGTAATTTATTTCTGTGTGGCCATTACTCCAGTCTTCAGTGTCACATGAACCTTCATTCTAATGTGCTGATTTGGTGCTCAAGGAACATTTCTTATTATTATTAAGGTTGAAAGCATTTGTGCAACAGCTTAATATTTTTATGATAACCATAATAAACTGTGATTTATTTTTTCCAGGATTCTTTGATGAATAGAAAGTTCAAATAACAGCATTTATTTGAAACAGAAATCTTCTGTAACATATTAAATGTCTTTAATGTCATTTTGGTCAATTTAATGCACCCTTGCTGGATAAAAGTATTATAATTTTTTTAAAGGTAGTTATTGGAAATTACTTTAAATGTTAAAGTAAGATTATATCTCAGCAAGGGCAGAATTTGAACACCAGAATTATACTTATTATTTTTAGATTATGATCTGAAAGTCATTATCAACCCAGGTAACATTTGAGAATTAAATTTTCAGGATTTGACAGTTAAAAATAAACTGAAAAATAACTGAAGATTTCTATATCCCTTCTATAGTGTTTCTCTGAGAACTGCAATAACTGTCATTCAAATACTTCATACACAGGCACACACACACTGGGACTTCAGGCAGGATCTGGTTTTAATAGCATCACTGAGCTGTGGTAGCCATCTGAGCAGTCACACGCTGGAAGGGGAACAGAAGATTTCCAGGATTGCGTGATAAGCTGGGCCGGTGAAGTATTAGGCAGGAATAAGAAAAGCAATAACGGGAAAAGGGCTTTTGACTCTGCTGTTTTAAATTTGAATCGAAACCATGTCACACGCCAGCAGAGCAATATGCATACAGTAAAAGAGTTTTGTTGAACAGCCCAGAGGCTCAGAGGTCTGTGCTGAAATGAGCCATAATATCCCATTACCTCTGAAACTGAAATTTATGTCAATATTGCAAAACAGGAAGCCACCTTATGGCTTTGTTCTGCAATGCATTAACAATGTGTGTGTGTGTGTGTGTGTGTGTGTGTGTGTGTGTGTGTGTGTATCACTCACTGAGCAGTGACTCAATGTCGACTCTGTAGACGGTGGCGTGGCGGTGAGGTTGCCACTGGGCACACATGCTGCTACTGAGCACCTGGTATGTGCTGAGACTGTTCACCCCCAGAAACACTGCAAGGGGAAGAAGAAAACAGATATCTTGAAACAAGATGAATTTAGTGGAAAAGCAAAACTAAGATACTTTGAAAAATCAATGGGGGGGGGGGTTGTCCATACACTGAAAGTTAACAGGGTCCAATGTTGTTTTGTACATCATTGACCTTCATTATATGAAAAAAATTATTCTTCAAAATACCTTATTTTGTGTTCAGCAGAAGAAAGAAAGTCATACAGGTTTGGAACAACATGATGGTGAGTAAATGATAACAGAATTTTCTTGTTTTGTGAACTATCCATTTAAGCTATGACCAGGAGGAAAGCATTTTAATTTAAAATGTAACTTTTAATGTCTTATGCAGTGTTGCTTCTTAGTTAAATTGATCTTGTTTTAAGTACATTTTCATTGGAAAGAAGATCAGTGTAACACATGTGAATCCATTATATAAACTACCGTACAAATGTTTGGGGTCAGCAAAAGTTTTATTTATTTATTTATTTATAAGAAAAGATGTGTTAAATTGATCAAAAGTAACTATAAAGACATTTACAATGTTACAAAAGATTTCTATTTTTTTTAAAAAATGCTTTTGAGCTTTCTATTCGTCAAAGAATCCTGAAAAAAGTATCACGGTTTCCACAAAAAATTCTAATAAAAAAATGACACGGTTTTCAAAATTGATAATAAACAATAAATAAATAAATAGTAAAAATAAATGACTTCTTATTATTTTTCATTATCCACCAAATCAGTATATTAGAATTTTTGATTAAATAAATACAGGCTTCGTGAGCATAAAAGACTTTCAAAACTATTTTTAAAATTACAGACCCCAAACTTTTGAACAGTAGTGTACTAAACCTGTAGGAAAGCTTTGAAATGTACACGCTGGTGGGTAGTGAGAGCAAAGCCTTGATCGTTGCTTCTCTAATGTAGTCTAATGTTTTGAAATGAAAAGCAGCACATGTATTACAGTAATGGATAATGAGCCATAGGGTTGCCAGCAGCTACTTTGAGCTGCAGGTTATGGGGTAAAACCTGTAGGCTTCACTTCTCTCGAAACCAGAACCCTATTTCTGATCTCGTCAGATTTCTGTGCGATACTCTTTAAATACTGCAAGTCAGGCAAACCTAATGGCTAGAAAAACACATCTGAGAGGAAAGCAAGAGGTTCAAACTGCATTCTTAACAAATACGCTCTCCACTTAAAAGCCACAAATGGCCTTAACCATTTCTTTCTTTATTTTCCTTTTTCTCTTTGTGCAAACCACACAAAATGTGCTGTGTGAAAGAAAACTCTTTTAAAAGCCAAAAAAATAGACTTATTTTGGAATTATCACGTTTTTGTTCAGCAAAACACAAGCCCAAGCCACAGCACATGGTCTACATTAGTCGCACAAAACAATACTCATCTTTGGAGCTTGTAGTATTTGGAACAGAAGCACAATTGTGGCCGTGTTGCAACAAATGGAGTCCCACGCATTTTATACGCCAAAAGTTGTGGCGAACCCAAAGTCTGCTTGTACTGGAAAAGTTCCATATGGTGGGACACTGTCCTCCTTTGAGCCTTGATATGAGAGCCAGATCCTAAAAAGGAACTACTTACGCAATCAAGCTGTCCATTGAAATTCACGCTACACAACAGAACATCATGTCAGTCGCGTCTGAGACTTGGAGATTTTAGATTAAAACGGAGACTGTGCACAAAACATATGGGGCACAGTGGTGGTGATTCGTTTAAGGTTTTGAATAATGCATGTGACAAGCTTTCCTCCTTATATAAACTATTTTAATGAACTATATGCATGCAAAAAGGGCCTCTGGCTGATAGTACTAATACAAGGTGGTGGAAATCCATTATTGTGCATTCAATTATTCAAAGGTCAAACAGAAAACGTATGAAAAATTGATGGACCCCATTGAGGAGGCGATATGCAGATGTCATGTAGGGTGAGACAATATGGGAGGTTCCTCAGACAGCCATAGAGTGTGAAAAGAATTAGCGCCCATGCTAGAAGCTGAGATTGACTGGAAGTCCTTTAGCACGTTTTGTCCGTGCTTAATGGCACTATCGGGGTGTCATAACATCTGTGACATGCAGAGGTGTCATGCTCATTTAAACTGAGACGGCATGTGCCCCTTTTAGATTTGTGAGCCAAATGGACTCTGAATGCTACTTCCAAAAAAGTGTATGTGGTATAATTTATAATAATAAAGTAAGCAAGATTATGGTATGTAAAAAGTGCTGTGTGCTGTGTCACTATTATTTGATTAGCTGCAATTTTGCTAGGCTACATAAATAAAAATATATAAATTATAATACATACAAACTTGACTAACATTTATTAAGATTTTCCACATAATATATATTTTTTGTTTGGTCATGTGTTTTCTTTCACCAAGTGAGGCAGCACTGCCACAAGTGACCCCTAAAAAAAGGCACGACACCCTTGGCAATGTGTCAGACTTTTTGTGTCGGTAGTCTTTATCCTTTAGTGAACTGTCTCTAGCTAGATTCTGCTCAGTCATCACTAATCTAATTTGAAGGAAACTGTGTGTGCGTGTAAAATACTTGTATAGTAATTGTACTTGATAACTATATTTAAGTATTATTTGGGGTAATTTTGCACTACTGGACTACTAACTAAATACTTACAATTACATTTCTAAGAAAAAAAAACATGATAATCTTTTACAATTAGACCCTCAGTATATATATATATATATCAGGGCTTGACGCTTACTTTTTTTCCCCAAGGAGCACATATGCTCCTAATTCGAATGATTTAGAAGCGCATAAAAACTTTAATTATTTAATTAATTTGAATACAAAAGTACACCAGGTTTTTAAATACATCTGCTTCAAACATTATTTATTTAATTATTAAACTATTTATATGTTAAACGTTGAATTAAAAGCCAGATACAGTTTACTGGGTAACCAGTAAGTGAAATTACGAAGTATTTAGGGGAAATAATTAAAAGTAAAATCTTTTTTTTTTTTTTTTCATTAATTTGTTATATTAGATTTTATTATATTAATTTTAATAACAAGTTCCTTTGTTGCACAAACTTTTCAAAAATCAATTCAATTATAATTTTCTCAATATTCTGACTATGAAAGGCTTTAGAGCACATCAATATTTGTATCAAACATCCTGAATTGTTACACGTCAAATTTAGTACCATTTTATAGTATAGCATAGCATAGCATAGTATAGTATAGTATAGTATAGTATAGTATAGTATAGCGTAGCGTAGCGTAGCATAGCATAGCATTGCATAGCATAGCATAGCATAGCATAGTATAGTATAGCATAAATACGTATTTAGATTTTACTTTTAATTACGTCGCCTAAATACTTTCACTTAACTGTTTTGGCATAATCAATATAAAACATTATAATATCTAAAAATATATTATATAAAGCATTTCACTCACATTTGTGACTAAAAATAGATATGTGTAACTATAAAATGTGTAAAAAAATGTACAAATGTATTTACGAGTACGTTTGAAAATAAAATGTACGTTCTGTGTACTTAAAAAGCCTTAGGGTGGGGGGGGGGATATTGGACATTTAAAGTAATGAAAAGTCATAAATATCTAAAATAGTATAAAAAAATCGTATTATATATTATCAAGAGGTCTATAATTCGGGGCCAAAAATTAGGAGTCACAATACACTCTGGTGTGATGATTAAACTTGAAAAGGCAATGATTTAATTAAAGAAATCTTAACACTCATACTTAAACTTACATAAAATACCTCAGTATTGTTTACACCCTTGATTGTGGAAGTAACAGGAAGAACCCTGATGACAGATATTTTATATAACATGCCTTAGCTTCCTGTTATATATTATGATATAAGAAATGTTTTTTTTTCTGAGATAGCGCTCTGTCAGTTGCAGGTGTTGTAAGCATTGTGCCTGTTTATCTGACTACAAGACCGTGGTGACGGATATTGGCATGGTGACACCACGGTGCTCTGATGGATGGCCTCAGCACTTCCTGAGAAAACATAATCTGTTTGCTTTTTGATGAGAATCGCTAAAACAGGTATTACTTTGTGATGTACCTGGCGATATCAAATTTATATGCAAAGGACTGTCATTACTGGAGCTGTCTGTCTGAATATTGATATATGTGTAGCTGGCTGCCTATCAAAGAGCACCTTCAAGTTTCATTAACAGACAAAAGGGGCAGTTCTCGCCAGTCCGCTTACATAGCGATATTATCGCTGTTGCATATTATCAAGAAACAGTATTAGCAAGGATGATCACACAGGAGGCAAATTACATCTGTGAATCTGATGTGATGGTGCAGCAAAATGATGGTGGGCTGTTGGGAATAGTGTAGAGATCTCACGCTGGGCAGCGTGCAGATTCGTGTGTACTAGATAATTATGTTTAGGTGTGTATTTGTGCAGAGACTCACATGTTTTGCCCTTGCTGGTGAGGGGTTGGCTGGAGCCGGTGGTGTAGGAGGCGATGACCTGAACGCTGTACTCCTTGTCACTCAACAGATTGAGAATCAGCAGGGTGTTCACATCATCCCCTACAAACGTCTCTAGAGCCGGACCTGGCACTGCGCACAGAGCGAGACAAGAGCTGAAAACAATCGCAGCAACCTTACAGGAAAAATGTGTAAAAAAAAGTTAACTATTTAAAGGGCCGTTATTAGCTTTTTTCCCTGGAAGTACACTTATAATATTATAACACTTATAATATTAGTCAAGTTGTAATGTAGTTTTAAATCAGTTGTTTTTACTATTGATACAATTAAAAATGCTATATGTAAATGACTACTATTTTGATTGTGAAAGACAGTAGTTTAGCTCATGTTACATGATTATTTCACCTAAAAATTATATATTAAAATGATCTGTCAGCAGTTAGTCACTCTCATGTTGTTCCTACATGACTGATTGTCTTCTGTGAAACACAAAATGAAATAAAATTTTAATTATTTATTATTTTCCTTGCACAATAAATGGGAACTGAAGATTTCAAGCTTCAAAAATACAAAAAAAACAAAAAAAATAAATATAAAATGGTCCACAAGATACACTACCATTCAAAAGTTTAAGGTTGGTAAGATTTTTTTTGTGTTTATTTGTGTTTATTATTTTAAAAATACAGTAAAAATACAGTAAAATATTATTACAATTTAAAATAACAGTTTTCAGTCTTCGGTGTCAGACGATCCTTTAGAAATCACTCTAATATGCTGATTTGGTGCTCAAGAAACATTTCTTATCATTATCAATGTTGAAAACAGTTGTGCTGCTTAATATTTTTGTGGAAACTGATTCATTTCTTCTAGGATTCTTCTAGGATGAATGTTACTGACCCCATAGGTTGTACGTGTACTATATTTCAAGTCTTCTGAAGGGAAAAATTTCAAATGGCGCTACATTTTTGTATGTTCCTTACAGAATTTACATCGTTATTCATTGGAAATCTTCCCTTCTAATGAGTCAACCGGATCACTGAGTTATTGAGTTAGCAACTCAACTCAAGCTCAATTCATGAATGAATCAATCAGACAGGTTTGTGAACTTGATCGACTGAGTCTTTGAAAAGATTTGACTATGAAACAAATAATTTGTTTCAGTGAACCATCCCTTTAATTCTGAACAACATGTTTTTGCAGCTTACTAAATATTCTGGGTGGACTGGGAAGGGAGTTTGGGCTGTGAATGTCTAAGTATGTCTATTGTATTTAGTACATTCAATTCTTTAAAATTATTTTACATTTTATGTCCCTTTAAGCAAAAACATTTTGTTGTTGTTGTTGTTGTTTTTTCAACATTCATACCTCATAGGAACAAACTCCAAAAACTAAAGTGCTATTTTCTGGCCCTCACAAACTAAACATCTATACATATGAGGCCTCTCTACATCAAAATCACAGACTTAACTAAAAAAAGACACAGGAAAGGAGTAGGTGGATTTCACAGACACTTAAAATCATAGCATTACACTATAACCATCACAAAGACTGGGAAAACTAGATGTGAAATGATATGAGAATAAGTGAACCCTCCCCTTCAACAACACACACAGACATAGAAAATGAGTTCTGGACAGTAGAAATGACCGGTGCTGGGATGAATTATTAGCAGCTGTTGGGAGCAGTTTGGAAGGGCATTAAATGTAGGTGGAGAAGCCATTTCTCTCCACCGCAGATGGGAGTTTAAGATCATATAAAGGAATTTATTGGGCTGGACTTCAGTGGAAAACAGAGGAGTGTTATATTTTTCCCTCTGGTGTGCTGCAGCCACATTAGTGCTTCTGTTTACAGTCGAATCTCAGACTGCAGATGGAAGAACACTCATGATCAGAGCAGCAGACGTGGAGAGAGTATCTCAACCTACATTTAATGCCCTTTCAAACAAGCTGCTAATTATTCATCCTACCCGTCTATATATGTCTCCAGAGTCTCAAGACTTTTTTGCTAAAGTTATTTGCATACTTCATGTACCAGTATGTCTGGAATCTAATGCTGAATTATGCAGCACATTTACATGGGATCGTACAGACATCCATTCATGAGCAGATAGACTGTGGAGGGTTATGATAAGTGTGTGTGTGTGTGTGTACTGGTATTCCCTACATTATGGGGACCAAATGTCCCCACAAGTATAGTAATACCAGTAAATGTTGACCTTGTGGGGGCTTTTTTTTTTGTTCTCCATGAGGAAACAAATTTATAAACCTTTCTGAATTAAGCTTTTTTTTTTTATTATTAAAATGTTTAGGGGTAGGGGTAGGGTAAATGGGATAGCAAGTACAGTTTGTACAGTATAAAAACCATTACACAAACTTCATTATGAATTGCACCATGATGATAGGAATGCCCGTGTGTCTGTGTGTGTGTGTGTGTGTGTGTGTGTGTGTGTGTGTATACCAGAGATGGGCTGGTAGATGACTCTGTAACCCATAGTAGGGAACTGAGGGCTGTCCCAGCTGATGCGGAAGCGATTATACCATTCATCAGACACCCTTAGGTTACTGGGTCCAGAAAGTGGAACTAACCAATCAGAAGACAGAAGATCATGATTAGTATTTGCAATGTGGTTATTTAATGTCAATTGCTGGTTAATTGAACTTCATAAAATCTTATGTGATTTGAATTGCACAATATGCTGTATCATTAAAATGTTCAGGTATAAAAAAAAAAAAGAATAAATAAACAAATTAATTAATAATAAACAATTAATAAATTATTTAAAAAAAATACAATTCAAAAGTTTGGGGTCAGTAAAGTTTCTTAATGTTTTTGAAAGTCTCTTATGCCCACTAAGCCTGCATTTGTTTGATCAAAGAAACAGTAAAAACAGTAATATTGTGAAATATTCTTACAATTCAAAATAAATCATTAATTAATTATTAGTAATTGATTCATGTGATGGCAAAGCTGAATTTTCAGCAGTCATTATTCCTGTCTTCAATGTCACGTGATCCTTCATAAAATATTCTAACATCACAATTTGGTGCACAAGAAACACTTCTTATCATTATCAATGTTGAAAACCGTTATGCTGCTTAATATTTTTGTGCATATTGTGATAGATTTTTTTTCAGTATTCTTTAATAAATACAAAGTTCAAAAAAATAACATTTATTTGAAATGTATATATTTTTTAACAATGTAAAAGTCAATTTACTGTATCCTTGCTGAATAAATGCATTCATTTCTTTGAAAAAATTAAATAACAATCTTACTAGCCCCAAACTTTAGTATTGTAAATTAATCAATCAATCAATCAATCAATCAGTATATTGATAAAGAAATTCAAGTGTTTGTTTATTTATTCATTGCTACAGGCTGTAGTTCTACCCTGAATTCCTAGCATTCTCTTAGAAAAGTCTCTGTTTTCACATAATTACCACTCCTCCGCCGAGAATATCACCCCACTCATAATTAATTCAACCTCAACCTCAATCAGAAACAAGGGCAAAGGTTTTTCCAAGACAACTATCAGACATCTGATCTCAAGTTCAGTGTGAGGTGACATTAGCATTTCTAATCAGACACTGGGCTGTAATTTGAAGGTGATCACTGGGAGAAAGTTGTAGATCAGGGGTGTCCAAACTCGGTCCTGGAGGGCCGATGTCCTGTAGAGTTTTGCTCCAACTTGCCTCAACACACCTGCCTGGAAGTTTCTAGTAGGCCTAGTAAGACCTTGATTAGCTGGTTCAGGTGTGTTTGATTAGGGTTGGAGCTAAACTCTGCAGGACACCGGCCCTCCAGGACCGAGTTTGGGCACCCCTGTTGTAGATAATCAATCCCATCAGAGGAAAGCAGGCGGGTTTGATCAGTTCATTAGAGTAAGAATACCAGGGCTGGGATACATAAGATTTATTATGCTTATTAATAGGTAAAATGTTTCATTGACTGACCGTCCAACTTCAAAATGCAGTGAGTATAAACTATATCTCAGTGCTGTGATGTAAGAGGATCTATTTTCAGCTCATAAGCGCTATATCTGGTACATAAAACAATCAGGAATGTCGTTCATAAGACAAACGGGAAATTAGTAAGAGATGAACAATACTACTATGCAAATTTAGAATTGAGAGTCAAAAGATGTCCCATAAGAAAAAAACTATTGTGTAAAACTAACTTGGGGGTTACATTCTGGTTCACTGAGCTTAAAACAGGGAAAAAGCAGGTATGTTTTTAACGCACGATTAGTTAGATTAGAATTTAATCTGCCTCAGGTAGTGCCAAGTTCATCACTGCTTTAAGGTCAAATTAATTAACTCAGTGAAATCACTAACTAACATGGAACTAAATGAGATCACGCTCCTGTTAATACAATGAATGGCATAGTGTTGCATTTGTACTTGATTTATTAAGACAGAATTAAAAATTCATTTATTTCAGCCTGGGAATTGAACCCAGGTCGTTCTGCATAACTAGACACTAAATATTCCTAATGCTGCATAAGAACATGCTAAACATTTAGTAAGTGTGAGTTGTTGGCGTTTTTAATATTTCAAATCAGCTGAGCAGGGTTGTGTGTTAACAACGTGTTCATTTTATGAATTCTAAAAAGGGAGCTAGGAGACAACTCAAAACTATACAACTATACAATTATGCCAAAGTAATATGTAAGTATCATAACTGCATCTGTTTTGAAAGGGTTTGAGAAGTACCCATAATGTATTTCGTTTATTATGACTCCCGCAGCATTTGTTCATTCATACTCACTTGTTTTGCCAGTTGAGGCCATGGCCAGAGCTGTGGACTCTCCATCTGCATAAAAAGGGGTCACAGTGATCTTGTACCTTGTGTCTGAGAGGAGAGGTTGCAGGGTCACGCTTCTTCTGTTTCCCGAGACTAACACCTGGAAAAGAGGAGAATATTCAATACCAGACAAAGCATGGTGTGGGTGTGGATGCGTTTTGCTTTCTCTGCGAGGACCAAATGTCCTTGAGGTCTCTATGTGGAAAACAGCTTTATAATGGAAGTAAATCATTTACAAATGTATAATACAGAAATGGTGAATGTTTAGTATTAGAGTCAGTATATAATGACTTTAATTAGCATATGTGCATATACAGAGCTGTAAAAAAGTAAATACACCTCAGAAAGTTTTGTCTTTTCTTTCAATACATGTGGGGATATCAAGTGGAACTTCATTTGGACAGTATCAATAAGAGAAAGTGGTATAATCACCTACCCTACCTTTAACAAATAATAATACAAATTTTACTTTGATTTTTTTTTAACGAAATTAATATTTTTGTTCAGCAATGATGTAATAAACTGATTGAAAATGACAGTATGAACTTTTACAGTATTACAAAACATTTATATTAAAAAAAATAAATAAATTCTTTCTATTCAAAATTCCATGAAAATATTAAGCAGCACAACTGTTTTCAACACTGATAAATAAAGATTTATTTTTTTCTTGAGCACCAAATTAGCATATTAGAATGATTCTGTGAAGCCTGGAGTAACGGCTGTTTAAAATTCAGCTTTTCCATCACATGAATAAATTACATTTTAAAATGTATTAAAATAACATAGTTATTTTAAATTGTAATATTATTTCACAATATTATTGTTTTACAAATATTTTTGATCAAAAAAATGCAGCCTTGGTGAGCATAAAGCCGACACACCAAGCCGACGGTCGGCCATCAGGCAATGTCGAGTGGTTTTAGTTTTTTCGGCATGTTCCACATCGTTGGCTCTAGTCAGATGCCGTCAGCTTTTTTTCAGCCGATTCTGCATATCGAATCAGCAGTGGAGCTCGTCGGCGAGAAAGAGAACTACAATTGGCTATCCAATGACGGAGTAAAGACAGAACACACAGACACTTGTTGTCATTCTATCCATTTGTTTCTTTCTTTATACACAACAGGAAGCCCAAGGGCTGACAATGCCAGTGCCATTTGCAACTTAGCAGAAATGATTGAAAAAAGCTACACAAATCCGTCAGTAAAGAGCATGGCTGGTGTAAACAATGGTTTACAGGCTGCGAATGAACGCAATGAATGCTGCTTGCTTTGTATATCCACAGTTCCAGCTCTTCCGGTTTCCCTGTTTGAATGCCGAATACAGACTACTGCCAGCTGCTGGTATGGGAGAGTTATGTTCTCTCACGCAAGTGCAGAGCGTATACTCTAGATTAAATATATAATAATAATAATAATAAATAGGTGCATTTGCCCCCTTTGGCAGGAATAATTTCTTGTAGGTGTTTCTTATAATTGTCCATCAGGCTCTTACACTGATTGTACAAGTATCATCACAGCCATTCTGTTGTACCGCAATCTAGACTTTGGCTTTGAACTTAATTGTGCTGAAAGGAATACTGAAATAATTAAATAAATGTACGGTTCCATGTACAGTTCAGTTTCAATTTTTTTCCATGGCCTCATGGTGTCCTCAAGCACTCTTTGGTATAATGTGGAATTCATGGTTAGTTTTACGACGCTATTTGCAACCCCGAAGCTGCAAAATACCCTCAAACCACAACACTTCCACTACTGTGCTTGTGGGTATGTGTTTCTCATTCTCAAATGCTCAAATCTGTACTTTGACTCATTTGTCTAGAAGTTCTTCATGTAGGTATCAGTTGGCAAACTTCAGTTCTTTTTTGGAGAGCAGAGGCTTCGTCTTTGCTGACCTCCCATATAGACTATATTTGGACAGCCCTTTTTAATGGTTGACCTCCTGAAGCATTTTTGAAGCATTTCCAGAAGCATTATTGTACGTACAGTGGAATGATGGATTGTAAACAGCTTGGAAATAGCTTTAAATCTATTTTTCACACTCATACGCCTCAACAACTTTTTTTCTGAGGGGCTCAGTCAGCTCTGGTGCACCTTGTTGTAATATTAAACAGTATGAACTGATGTACAGTAGTGATAAATGTAAGTTTATACTAACTTTTTCCAAAAAAGCATTCTATTTTTCATGAGGTGCACTTACTTTCACACAGCATGGTATGTAGGAGGAGGAGAGCAATGACTGCTAGTGTAAGGAATGATTGTCAAGGATAAAGAAAATGCCAAACAGTATAGAGAAACAATTCCAAATATTTGAGTGTTTGATCAGCTCTCATGAAAGCTACTCTGAGTATAAGCCAAAAGACTAGAAATCTGTGTACTGAACTTTAGGGAGCTGGATGAAAATCAAGAAAGCCAGCACTCAGCTCTGTAGCCAGCATCCAATCACTGCAGTCATTCACCACAGACACACCATTAATCACACGCACACACACACACAAAATCATGGCAGTCCATTGCTTGTTGATAATGAAATGTTGGGTTGCATTATGTGGAGTGGCTTCCTCTGTGTGAGAGTACTATCAATGGACAGACTACAAATAAGACAAATGAAAATAAGTAGTTTGTGAATGTTACACATGCAAAGATTAAGAGGTTATTGAAAAAGTAAAGGTTCCTAATTGCCAACATTTTAAGTGTATGTGTTTTACATTTTATATTAAATTACTGGGTTTTTGAATATTAAATTATTGGATGTTTGTATATTAAAAGTAATGATTTCTATATTTTTTGCCCAGCACAGGCACTAAATAAAAACTGTGGAATCAAATCATTAATTACCACAGCAGACTGCACAATATGTTCAGAGTTTATACTGTGACATTTTTTATATCTGCATGTGCACTCGGTGCACTTTTTTTCCTTATTAATACAGTCTTACACATAAAACTGAATCATACTTGCTAAAAATACACTACTGTGCAAACGTTTGTGGTTGGTAATTTTTTTTGCAAAAAATACAGTAAAACCAATAATATTGTGAAATATTACAATTCAAAATAACTATTTAATTTTATTATTTTCTATTTTAATACTTTGATCAATTTCATGTTTGCTGAATAAAAATATTGACTTATTTTTATTAATTTTTTTTATCAGATTGACCGCAAACTTTTGAACGGTACTATGTGCAGAAAATTATGTACAATTCTAACTTCCTTTGATCAGTCAGGTGTGGTTCTCCATGGTCAAGAAGGTAGAGTTTGACCACCTGCTGTTTCAGACCTGTTTTTGCTGTGCAGTGTCCTGCTGCAGAACAACTCTCATTAGCGGAGCTGTCCACCAATCCGTGGTGCTGAAACCTATATGCAGGAGATCGTCTCTCTTTATAAACTTTGCTGGAACTTTCCCTCAAATGAGGTGTGATCTCCTTTACTAGCTCTCTCAGATGTTCTCTCCCTCTTCTCACATTTTGCTCAGTGACCTAAATGGCACTTGAAAAGATAATGGAAATTCATTTTTCCCAGTCCCATCTCCCTTTTCCATCTCCTTTATAGCTTGACCCCCAATGATTCTCCACGAGAATTACAAATGTGGAGAGGTTGATATTCTGTACAGTTAGGGGCGACGAGTCACCACAGAGTTTGAATTAAACGTTACGCCATGAAAGATCTTAACCGTGCTAGATCAAGTTGCAGCAAAGTTAGCCTATAGTGCCACAAAAACAGCAGATTCCCACATCAGAAGAGTGGCTGTGTTTTAATTAACTCCCTGCGATTCCTCACCATATGATTTTGCACATCAGGAATCACTGTAGTATAAGACAAAGGGGGTTCCAGTACAGGGACATGCATTTAAAAAGGTCACTTTGAGCAAGACATGTCCTTGCAACAGATAACACAAGCAGCAGAGCTGCATCATTCAACTTCACTTACCCAGAGGAATATGATCAGCCTGCAGTCTAACAGCACAGAGGTAATACATTTTTCCCTTATATTTTTATAGCGCAAGAGCAATATAGGTAGCTTTATGAAATAACAGCCTCACTGGGACACAAATAAGACAAGTGTATGTTGCCCTCTTTATGCACTCTGATTCAGAAAAGAGAGTGGAGCTAAACTGTTCTAGAAGACAGAAAGATGACGATGACAGAGTGAGCTCGCTCTTGTGTTGTTATATTAACATTAGTTATGGATGTCTGTGTGCTGTGGTTATGTTTACTCACTGTCTCTTCTGTGCGGTCTGCACTGACATATGTCACTTTGAACTGGTCCACGTCTGAGTCCAGCACCTCCCAGTTCACTTGCATACTGAAGGGGGTCTCCTCATCCACCCACAGGTTACTCACTCCCAGATGAACAACTAGATGATACAGATCAACTTAATCTACCCATCAATCCAATGTTCAAATTTCAGCAGGATAAAGTCATATTTTTCTTACATGCTGTAGTGGAGGGGAAAGTGGTGGGAACTTCTGTGGTCCAGCCCACTGCAATAAAAAAAAAGAAAAACAACACAAAACAAAACCAAACAAAAAAGCAAGGCAAAACAAAACCAAAACACAAAAACAAAGTAAAGCAAAAAACCAAACAAAAAATACAAATAAAAAGCAAAGCAAAAAGTAAAAAAAAATCAACAACAAAGGACAAAAAAACAAACAAACAAAAACAAAGCAAAGCAAAACAAAAAAACAATTAGTCAGTTTGATATGATGTGAATTAGCTGGTTGGCGTTAAACATTTAAACAACATTACTGCAGGTCTTACATGTATTCTCGAGCACAACCACAACGCTGCTCTCCGTTTCGTCTTTATAGATGGCTGACAGTGACACCTTATACTCTGTAAAAGGACTCAGGTTTTGAATCACATATGAGTCCACAGCTCCATCCAGCATCATCTATACAACACACAAACACGAAAGCACCCAGTTACAGTATAAACCAGAGTTATAATAACATTTGAATAGTGCTGAGATTAGGTCAGCCTGATTAAACCTCTTGTTTGGTAATCATCAACACGTGGTTAGAGAGTTAATTCAAATCAGATATTTTGGAATGCATGGGACAACACCACTTTTTAAAAATAGCTTGTAAATTATGTTACAGACCAGACCAACCACACTTGACAGCAAAGAAGATACTTTACAGTCAGTTGAAAAGATTTATCGCCAAGTGTCGGAAGGTGATGATAAAGAAAATGGACAATCCAATTCTGGAGCAAGGCCACATCTATTTCAGCCAAGATCCAAGAGTGATGGTTCTGATGAAGAGGCCCACCACAGTCATCATCGAGAGGATGCTGAGGTGTAGACTGGCAAATCATTTTCTTATGATTTTGTATGTCGTAAACTACAGTCTGCTTGACAGATGGCATTTATAAATGGAGAGGGGATATTTTTACTAAATTCTTTGTGCGTCATTGTGCAGAACATAAGTCAACAGTATTTTCTGTCCAGAAAAAGTGATAGTAGCTGCAACAGATTACAATCAGTAACATCACGTTTTCTCTGGTATAAATGTTGGTGACTGCTCAGCAAAGCACCTACGCCATGCCAACAATAAGGCTGCATGTCCATCAAAGCGTTTTTAGCCAGCTGAAAACGCCAGGCACTCTGCTGAAAACGTCCAGCTGTGAGCGCTTGAGAGCACTTCTGCAGAGCAGCGGGGGTTTTTTTCAGTTGAGACACTGTGGTTCCTATGATACTGAATAACAGCAGAAGTAATGTGGCAGACGCATCTTGAATGAAATATTAAAAGAATTATTGTTCATATCAATATTCGTAGCAGTTCGGGAATCCCTTCTAGTACAGACATGAATACTCAGAGAGAAGCAATATTAACGTCGTCTCCTCCATTGTTGTTTAGTCGTAGTACAAGCAGAATGTGTGACAGTTGGTCGGAGTGGCATTTGTCCCGCCCCTCCTCCACTCTGATTGGACGGCTGACTCAAAAGTGATAGTGATAAGCGCTGCATTTTATCCAAAGGTGAACATTCTTCAACTCTCGGCACTGAGAAAAAAACACCCGAACACTCAGCGCAAAAAAGACACTCAGCGCTCGGCACGCTCCTGGCGTTTTAAAAAACGTGGCGCTCCCATTGAAAACAACTGAAAAAATACGCTAACCTCAGGAAAAAACACTTTGGTGGACACGGGGCCTAACAACATGCATTTAAAAGCAAGCCTGCTATCAAGAGATCTTTGGATCTCAGTCAGCTCTGGGCCGTCCCAGCAAACCCCTTTGAGTGAATATGTGTTTCTGGACTGACTCCTCTGCTCTAGGACATGAAGCTCAAGCCACATTCCAGTTTGCCTCGCAGCATTTTATTATTTTCTGCTCTGGTGGCTCTTGGTAAACATATCGACCTGCAGTGCTATCTATAAAAAACAGCTGCACTGACTCCTGGCCAGTAATAAAAACTTTCTCCGTCACACACGCTTGTGTTTGTGGTCACGTGTCTCAGGGATAGAGGTGACGGGACGTGTTCAGTATGCTGCTAGTTGTTTTGGTGTTTGTGAGTACCAGTGACTGGTCATTTCTAATAGAGAATAAGAGTTGGCCCCAGGCTCTGGGTTAGGAGAAAGTATTGATTGACTCATAAATCATTTTCAAGAAACTCATAAAATTCATATTTCACTTTCTATTTTTCAACATATATATAGTTTGTTGAAACTAACATCTAGCAATGGATGTTGAAAACAGCAAGTAAGTCACAATTGAGAAACACTGTAGAAAAAGTCAAAGAGAAACAAGAGAATTCAAGGGTCCAGGGTTTGGCTGGTTAGCATGTGCCCCTGCTGGAAGATGGCAAGACTCCACCATCCTACTGCCAAAAAGCATCGGTCTCCACTGACAGACAAAATGCTTTTGCAAGCCACATCAAAAATAGTTCATTACGTTATAGTAAATGTTTTGCCAGTGACCAACTGATTTATATATGTATTTCTTTTTTTAAGAGTTCTTATAAGCATGAAACAGACTTATTATACATTATACATTATACATTTTTATATTATATTACATTATATTATATTATATTATACGCTGTCAAATCACTAGCCAATTTGGCGGGTTACCTTTCGTAAATTATGTTTACTAATTAATTTCTTGAGGAAGTTCTTTTTTCATAATTTATTTGTTTAATTTTTTTGGCTAGTAGAAATTATGAATGGCCGGTAACTTAAAAATTTAGTAGCCAAATTGGCTGGTGAGTGAAAAAGTTAATTTCAAACCCTGATTATATTATATTATATTATATTATATTTTATAGCTCAAAAAGTTTTTTAATGTTTGTTTAAGAAGACTTTTATGCTGACCAAGTCTGCATTTAATACAGAAATATTGAAATACAGTAATATTGTGAAATATTATTAAAATTTAAAATAAATTTTTCTATTTTAATATATTTTAAAATGTAATTTATGCCTGGGAAGGAAAAAAAATAATATGCTGATTTGGCAATCAAGCATCATTTCTTTTGTTTTATTAATGCTGAAAACAGATACATTCAAGATTATTTGATTAATAGAATGTTCAAATAAAACAGCATTTATTTGAAATATATTTTATAATAATGTTAAAGTTTTTAATGTCACTTTTGATCAATTAAATACATCCTTGCTGAATAAGTAATAATTTAAAAAGAAAATCTAACTGACCCCAAACTTTTGTTTTATATTATATTATATTATATATATAAAAAAAATAAAGAAATACAATTAAAAAGCAAAGCCAAGTACCCTCTAGCTGTAGCACATCACTAATCATTGTACTGGTAATTGACTGACCTCTCTCTCTTCTCCTCCTTCAGTGGGTGACCAGTTCATCTTATAGAGCACCACATCCCTGGCAGGATGTGACCAGCTGACCCGGAAACTCTCTGAGGTCACCTCTGATGTCATCAGGCTGAACGGGGCCGGTACAAGCTCTGAATGAGATAAGTGAAAGTGAAAGTGACGTGACATGTGGCCAAGTACGGTTACCCATACTAGGAATTAGTGCTCTGCATTTAACCAATCCAAAGTGCACACACACAGCCGTGAACACACACCCTGAGGCAGTAATTAAAGCAGAAGGAGACCCTACCAAGTTATTGAGTACATGTACAGTAAATGAACATACTTTCCAGAAGGCCAACAATTCATTAAAAATGTTTTTTTTTATTGGTCTTATGGAGTATTCTAATTTGTTGAGATAGTGAGTTGGTGGGTTTTTGTTAAATGTGAGCCAAAATCATCACAATTAAAAGAACCAAAGACTTAAACTACTTCAGTCTGCGTGCATTGAATTTATTTAATACACGAGTTTCACAATTTGAGTTGAATTACTGAAATAAATGAACTTTTCCACGACATTCTAATTTATTGAGATGCACCTGTATTCCCTAGAAATTTCACCACATAACCTGATTGCTACAATGACAATGTCAGGACACCCACAGAACAATGAAACTCAGGAAATGAAGTCCCAGATCTATTATAGATTCCAGCAGCCAATCAGTGATTACTGAATGTAACAGCCTGCCTAGAAAGTGATGCTTTGTCCAGGACAGAGAAAGCATCCATTCCTGCTTTCCAGCTGGAGTAAATTGCAGACTCTGTGTGCAGCGGATATTGTAAATTCTGTTGCAGGAGGAAAATACGACAAAATATGCACATACATGTACATGTTAAATCAGCATTGCGGCAAGCAGACAATATTTGTTTTTGCCGGGCTCATGATAATGAATACCAATGGGCCCTGTCTGTTCTGTGCTTGGAAAAATAATTTGCAGAAATCCACACCCACCACCCAGCATATGCTGGCATTAGGGCTGTGCAAATAATCAAATGTGATTGTCTGGAACAAGATCAAGAGTATGACCATGCTCATGAGTTGGACCAAAAACACACTGTAAAAGATCAAATGACTCTAATAAATTAAAAAAATCTCTGACCAAGGGCTTTGACGGGCAACACACATGTAAATTGAAATCCCCCAAAATTAAAATTTTGTCAAAAGAGGGGACAATTGCAGATAACAGTTCAGAGAATTCTTGTATAAAATCCCCATGAGAGTTTGGGGGTCTATAAATTAAAACACATAGCACAGACTTAAAAGAATTCAATGTAATTAACTGAGATTCAAACGAACAAAAAGAGTCCGAGGGTAAAAGTCTACATTTAAACTTTTCTTTAAAAACAACTGCAAGACCCCCACCCCGGCCATTATTCATTTGAATAATTTTATGTACTATTTATCTGATTAACAGAGTGTGAGAGTGAATGAGTACATGTTTGTTTAATAGAGAAACGAGTGCTTGTCATGTAGTGATCACCTCACTGGTCTGGACACCATCTGTCTTCATATACATGACACGGTAGCCCTTAACCTTACTGGACGCTGCGTCCCAGTTGAGTCGCACAGAGCTGTGGTCAACTTCAGTGACCCGCAGGTTACGTGGAGGTCTCAGGGACACTGCAGGAAGACAGGGACTAATGATCAGTCACTGGCACTTATTGAATATTAAGTGACATTGTTGCAACATTGAAGTCACAATGATTTTAATGCACTTTTTAACACAGTTAATTAATTTTCCAAAAAACACATTGCGTCCTTGTCTTGCAATTTGCAACTCATGAGAATGAGAGCGTTAAGACAAGGTAACATCTTTAATTTAAATCTGCAGCTGGTAATTTTGATTCATTTTAATGAAACAGTTCAAATAGCCAGTTTCAGTGAGATATATTTTTCATATAGTACACTGTCATTCAAGTTTAAGGAGAGTAGGATTTTTTTTCCCTTTTATTCAGGAAGGACAGATTCAACTGGAGAAATGAATGCTGAAAATTCAGCTTTGCCATCACATCAATTATATTTTACTGTTATTTAAAACTGCACTGATATTTCACAATATTACTGTTTTTACTGCATTTTGACCAAATAAAAATAGGCTTTGTGAGCATAAAATATTTACTGTATTTCAAAGATGTTAAATAACTTTAAACACCCCAAATGTTTTAACAGTAGTGTAAATTAAAATGTTGTTTGAACATATAAAATGTACATCTTAACAGAATTTTAATATTGCATTAAACATTTTTGGTTTTACATAACTTGGTTGAAACCAGGTTTGATTTCATTGAGAAAAAAAAAAGCCATTTGAGATATACAGGTGCATCTCAATAAATTAGAATGTCGTGGAACCTTATGAGGATTGTCAAGCAAAATCGATTCAAGAATTTGAGTGAACTTCACAAGGAATGGACTGAGGCTGGGGTCAAGGCATCAAGAGCCACCACACACAGACGTGTCAAGGAATTTGGCTACAGTTGTCGTATTCCTCTTGTTAAGCCACTCCTGAACCACAGACAACGTCAGAGGCGTCTTACCTGGGCTAAGGAGAAGAAGAACTGGACTGTTGCCCAGTGGTCCAAAGTCCTCTTTTCAGATGAGAGCAAGTTTTGTATTTCATTTGGAAACCAAGGTCTTAGAGTCTGGAGGAAGGGTGGAGAAGCTCATAGCCCAAGTTGCTTGAAGTCCAGTGTTAAGTTTCCACAGTCTGTGATGATTTGGGGTGCAATGTCATCTGCTGGTGTTGGTCCATTGTGTTTTTTGAAAACCAACGTCACTGCACCCGTTTACCAATAAATTTTGGAGCACTTCATGCTTCCTTCTGCTGACCAGCTTTTTGAAGATGCTGATTTCATTTTCCAGCAGGATTTGGCACCTGCTCACACTGCCAAAAGCACCAAAAGTTGGTTAAATGACCATGGTGTTGGTGTGCTTGACTGGCCAGCAAACTCACCAGACCTGAACCCCATAGAGAATCTATGGGGTATTGTCAAGAGGAAAATGAGGAACAAGAGACCAAAAAATGCAGATGAGCTGAAGGCCACTGTCAAAGAAACCTGGGCTTCCATACCACCTCAGTAGTGCCACAAACTGATCACCTCCATGCCACGCCGAATTGGGGCAGTAATTAAAGCAAAAGGAGCCCCTGCCAAGTATTGAGTACATGTACAGTAAATTAACATACTTTCCAGAAGGCCAACAATTCATTAAAAATGTTTTTTTTTATTGGTCTTATGGAGTATTCTAATTTGTTGAGATAGTGAGTTGGTGGGTTTTTGTTAAATGTGAGCCAAAATCATCACAATTAAAAGAACCAAAGACTTAAACTACTTCAGTCTGTGTGCATTGAATTTATTTAATACACGAGTTTCACAATTTGAGTTGAATTACTGAAATAAATGAACTTTTCCACGACATTCTAATTTATTGAGATGCACCTGTAGTTCAAATATTATTTAAAAATTGAATGAATATAATGAAAATATTGAACTATTTTATCTACACCACCCAGCCCTATTACTTGGAGCACATTTAAACACATTATTGTGTTTATTAATGTGCATTATTCTGAATTGAATTCAAAACAGAACCATTAAACACTGGACATTGTACAAATAAGAGTTGGAAAGAAAACTGATTGCATGTTTAAATTTAAAACAGATTGGCCTGGACACTCACTGGTGGTCTCCTGAACAGTAGCGGGATCACTGGCCTCCTCTCCGAACATGGCATAGACCGTAACGGTGTACTCTGAGTCAGGAATCAATCCAGTCAGTTCCACATCAGTCACCGACTCATCCACCTTTAGCTGTATCCCAAAAACAATGGCAACACCTTTAGAGCAGCATAATGGCTGCTGAAACACAGATTGAAGTGCAACCAAGGGAACTCAAACATGATGAATGCTATTCTTCTTCTACAGCTCCCATGAAAAGAGTGTAACAGCAAAGCTACTATTTTGGTGGCAGTGTCATAATGCCGGCGCGGGCTTAACGTTTACTCAAACACAGACAGGCACATTCACAAAGACAATTTGCAGCCTCACCTCTCTTTCATCTGTAGTCTCACTGCTCAGTGGAGCGTAAAGGATCATGTACCCAGAAGCCCCTTCTGCATCCCTCCAACGGGCTCTCATGCTGTTGTCTGTCACATCGTACACCTTGAGATCACTCACTGTTGGCAGAGCCACTGAGATACACACATAAATACAAATTAGACATCCGTACTCAACAAAGACAGACAGTGTTTTTTTGTGTTTGCACGTGAGTGAGTGTGTACATTGCAATAATTTTATAAATCTATATTTTTGTCTTATTTTACAGTAAAAGTACAGAAAACAAGATAAATGCATGTGAGAAAAATTTATAATCATAATTTATAATTCTTAATTATTGTCAGGGGAAAAAATCTAAGATTTAAGATTTAAATTTTTAATTAATTTATCTTAATTTATATGTAAGTGCAAGCAAAGTTGTATAAGATATTAAGACTACAAGAATGTAATTAAACAATATATATTTAATTTAAAATTTAAACATTTTTAATAAGGAAATTCATTTTTAATACAATTTTTGTATTTTTTAAAGAATAATTTATAATTCATAATATTTTTAAGAAAAATAATGCTTTAGAAAGTGTTAATAAATGTTAAAGTTAAAATGTAAAAAAAAATGTTAATAATTACATTTAATTTACATGATTACATTCTGTTTTAAATCCAAATTACATCTCAGAAAACACGTTTTAAAATCTAACACAATTTAGCTTCTCATTTAAATCTTGTTTTACTGGAAAAATACTGATTATGAAAACTATTTGTTTGCAGTGCATGTGTACAGTATCTTGAGTGTTTTTTTGGGGGGGGTTTGGATGTGTGTGTAAAAGATTTGCAAAGATCAGAAGTGTGTTCTGAGTTGGATTCTGGGAAGAGTGTGACTTTGATGGAGTGTGAGAGAAGCAGAACATTTTTTCATTCTAGAACAAGCACACATGAATAGTCTTTAGCATAACTCTATATTCCACCAGAAACCTAAAAGACTTTAAACATCCTAATCAACCACTAAATACTGCAGACTTCAGTCCTGTGTTCTTGAGTTGACTGACATGCGTCTGCTCTAAAGTAGTGGTTAGGAAATAAACATATTGCATATTAGAAGGTGATGAAAGAATTACAGTAAAGGGCATTTAGGAAAAAGAAATAGGCATGTAGTTTGTGGGTAATTACTGTTTTACAGTGAAATGGTGTTGAAGGACACGAGGCTGTAACGCATGTGATATGAAATGTTCTGTATAGTCAATGTTGGTCGTGGCAAGTCTAGAGTATGACTCACGCGTGATCTCGCTGCCTCTCAGAGCGTCACTTGCTGCGCTGCGGTACACAGCGAACACAGCAATCTCGTATTCAGTCAGAGAGTTCAAATTCTGCAACACGACTGAATTTTTCGTGCCGCCCACCACAATCTGTACAGCATAAAAACAGTGGTTTGTGATGCCTAGCACAGCAGTTTGGAGAATGCTTGTGAAAAATAAGACCAAAAAAACTCTGCAGTGTTTAATAATGTGGCACATATTGTGCAGCACATAATATTTATAGTATCGTGCTGACACCCACCACAAAAAAAAAACTGGAAATAGAACAAAAGATAAAAGAGGCACTAAAAAGTATTTTGACATTTAAGCCACAGTTAAAAATGTAAGACTGTCATTGCTCTAGATAACAAAATATCAAACCAATCAGAGTTTATTTTAAAGAAAGAAAGCACAAGAATGACTTCTAAAACATCTGGTGAACATCAGCTGACTTAAGTAGTAGGACCTCTGACTATAAGGTCATCTACTGTATCTTCCAAAAGACATTTTGGTCAAATGTGGCCATACAATGTAAGTCATGGGGCTGAATGTGGTTTCGGACCTCATAGACTTTCATTATATATAAATTCATACAGGTTTGGAATGATTTGAAGATAAGTAAATGATAAATGATTTTGGGTGAACTATGCCTTTAAGTGGGTTTTAGGTGGAAGGTTTGGTTTCGGATAAACTTAGAGGATGTTTTGTGGCATTGCTAATAGTTGAGTAGCATATTTGAAAGTTGCTCTTATTGGTCACCTCTTCCAGAATATCTGTCCCGGTTGGATGGTAAACAACCCGATATTTTTCCACACTGCCAGGCGTATGAGTCCAGGTCATTCGAAAACTATGTGCAGTCACCTCAGAAGTGACCAAGTCTTGGGGTGGAGACGCCGTCTCTTCAGTGGAAGAATCTCCTGTCAATCATGAGGAAATCATGAGGCTTTAGATGCCTTCCACACATCACATACTGTATCTAAGTTTAAACAGCAATTAAAACACTCACGTTTAATTTCTTTGTCTTGTTGCTCCACTCCATCACACACCTTATTGGTCAGGCCGTCCACTATAGTGCTCATGATACTGAAGTCTGCCACATTATAAACGTGTGTTTCCTCTGGTTCAGAGGCGATGGCCTTCAGCTCGTTCTCATCAGCATTCTTCACACCTACGCACAACCATTTTCACACAGCTCATATTCCATGCTTCTGGAATATCTATAATAAATAGCTTGTGTTGATAATGTGTCTGTGTTGACAGTTTACAATCTTTTGGAAGATTTTGTAAATACTTATTAGTGATAAAATTCATAAATGACTTCTGAAAAGCTTTGTTTATTTTTCACTAGCTGGATACTTTTTCTACATACTGCATATATTAAACTGGATGAACTAGATGCATTAAGGAATCTTCTAATACCAATGGCAAATAACTCGACTCCAGCACTTCTCAGGGTCTGAGCAGGTGGGATAACGTCATCCTGGGATTTGCCGTCAGTTATCAGAATTCCAATTTTGGGAACATTGCTACGAGCCCCAGACTCAGGTTTGAAGCTGTTCTCCAGGATGTAGGTAAGAGCAAGACCTAGACAGACCAAAACATTAAATGAAAGAGTTTCAAATACGCAAATACAAGAAAAAAAGCAATTGTGACCTATAAAGTTGCAATTATGAGAAGTAAAAAACAAAAAAAAAAAACAAATTATGAGTAGTAGTCACAACTGTGATATAATGTCAGATCATTGCTCTAGATAACAAAATATCAAACCAATCAGAGTTTATTTTAAAGAAAGAAAGCACAAGAATGACTTCTAAAACATCTGGTGAACATCAGCATTTCAAAAAATGAAGTCACGATTATAGTACAAGAAATAAAATCGCAAAAAAAAAAAGTTTACATTTTAACAGACACAATTATGAGAAATAAAACTGTAATTACGAGAGTCACAATTGTGAGATACAAAATCGCAAATACAAGAAATAAAGTCGCAATTATGAGAAAGTATTTTGAGATATACAATCACAATTACAAAAAATAGTCATAATTACAAAAAATAAAGTCACAATTGTGAGTTATATATTACAAACATTTTACACAATCATAATTACGAGAAAGCAAGTCACAATTTTGAGAAATAAAATTGCAATTACAAGAAAGCAAATCAAATTGTGAGACATTAAGTCACAATTATGAGAAATAAAGTCACAATTGTGAGAAATAAAATCGCAATAACAAGAAAGCAAATCAAATTGTGAGACATTAAGTCACAATTACGAGAAATAAATTCACAATTGGGAGAAATAAAATCGCAATTACGAGAAAGCAAATCAAATTGTGAGACATTAAGTCACAATTACAAGAAATAAAGTCACAATTGTGAGAAATAAAATCACAATTATGAGAAAGCAAATCCCAGTTGTGAGACATAAAATCACAATTATGTGAAATAAAGTCACAATTGTGAGAAATAAAATCACAATTACGAGAAAGTAATTCACAATTGTGAGATCCAAAATCAATTATGAGAACACAAGTCACAATTCTGAGAACTAAAACTGCAATTATGGGAAAGTAAGTCACAACTGTAAGACATAAAGGTGCAATTGTGATATATGAATTTACACTGCTACAATAAATAGCACCTATAGTGCCTGATCATGTTAGACTGGGTGGTTAGCGAATAAAATGCAGGTTCTGCGCTGAAAAACTGCCCACTAAAGTGAAATACCAATTTAGTTTTTATTGTTATGCCTTACAGTAAATGATTTTTTGTACTTTAGATTTGTACTTTTGTACAAGGATCAGACTGGATATTAACACTTTGACCAGGCACAGTATATCCGTGTCTCTGGAACAATGGAAAAGGTCTGGGAAAGCACAGCACATTACCTGTGAGAGTGTTGCCTCCCTTGTATGGCAGGTTTTTGACAGCATCTATTACTGCATCTTTTGTGCTGAAGCCATTCAAGTGCCACTCAATTCGTGGATCCCCGCTGTACTGGGCCAGTCCTAAAACATAAAAAACACATCCAGGGAACACACTGACACTTTATACATCAGATCTAAATTGAAAAGCACTTTATAGCTGTCTAAATTAATATATGATCCACTTACTATAAATCTATTTTTAGGTCAGACCAATTATTACAAGTGAATAAGAATGAATTAATGGAACCCACCAATCCGGGTTTTGTCTATTCCCATATCGAAGGCACTGACCAGGTTTTCAAGGAACATGCGAACCAGACGAAAATTGATTCGCCCAATACTCCAAGATCCATCGACCAGGATGACAATATCCGCAATAGCAGAAGTTGTGCAGACAAACTGATCCACTGGATTATGAGAGATGAACAGAGAGACAGAAAAAGAAAGAATGAACCTTGTTGCACATATACAGTCCCACATGTCTATAGATCCAAAAATATTGTCCTCTGAAGAAACAAACAAACCCAGCACCATATCACAAATTACACAGCCGTCTGTGAATGCAGGTACGGTTTTATTGAGCCACTCTGTCATTGCACAAAGTATCATCATAGGGCAGGGAAGAACATGTTTGATTTATGAACACAGCAGTACAATCAACCAAAGCAAAATTATTTTACTCATACAATTTTAACAGAGCAGCTCTGGGATCCACACTGGTTAGAGACAACTGATGGCATCTTGAACTCGAACAAATCATGTGTGTGTTTATGTCTCTCAGAGTGTGACGGTAACTCCTGGCAGTCCCACTGTGCAATAACTACATATCCACACACAGAGGGGGTAAAGTGATGAAGTGTCAGTACGGGCAGTAAATCTGAGGAGCGCAGGACCACAGAGCTCAGTAGTGTATCATGGGAGTCTGATTTGTTCCTCCCTCAATCATTTATTTTCACAGAAGAACTGGCCGTCAAAGCCTTATAGCATGATGCAAGTCATAGCTATAAGAGCATTAGTGTTTGGCACCATCAACAGAGGGCTGAAATACAGAACAGGGACATTATCCAAACTCAACTAGTCCTGAACATCAATACAGAGAAATCTGTTGACACAAAAATGGCAGTCAGGAGTAGAGAATGGAGACTCTTAATCTGTGGTTAATGACATATTTCCATAATCTTAAAAGTGACTGATTTACATTTAAATGGACAGTTCACCCAAAAACTGAAAATGTTATTATTATTTACTAATACTCATGTCACTCCAAACCTGACTGTCATTTTTCCATGGAACATAAAAGGTAAAAATGTTTTCAGTGTAATGGAAGTGAATGAGCAATTTAAAAAGATGAAAAAGGTTCATAAAAGTAGTCCACCGAACATATATTCCATGCGAGTCATATGATATTTCTTTGTGAGGCACAAACCAAAATGTACGTGCTAAGTGTTGGGACTGGAGTCAAACTGGAGTCATTTTAAAGAACGATTCATAGAAAAGATTCACAAATTGAATATTGCTATTTCTGGTATGAGTTCATCAGCGTGTCAAGAACAACTGGAATGAATGTGACATTCTCAGTGAATAAGGATTTAAATTTAGATTTATTTTCAAGTAAATAATGATTTCAATGTTAATCTCTTGTGAAAAGATTTTCCATGAATAATGATCTAAATTTTAATCTATTCTGTAAAGATTTTTAGTGAGTAGTGATTTAAATTTAGGTTTATTATGCAAAGAGTTTTAGTGAAAAATCTTTACATTTTGATCTATTAAAGTGTTTCAGTGAATAAAGATTTAAATTTTGATCTTTTGTGTGAAGTTTTTCAATGTATAATTATAAAAATGAATAATGCTTGAATTTCAATCTATTAAAGATTTTCAGTGAATAATGTTTACATTTTTAGCAATAATTCTTTCTATTTCTTACATAAAGCTATCGTATGACATTAGACAGTATGACAGCAGGCGCAATGATATTACGCAGCGCCTGAAAATAGTCCCCAGCACGCTCCCTATGCAAGCAGGTATTCACGTTGGTTATGTTGACGGAAGTTGGCCTATTTTCAGGCGCTGCGCAATATCATTGCGCCTGCTGCACCCATGGTACGGCAGCAAAGTTCCTTGATTATTACGCCGGAATGAGAGTATAGTTCCTAGCCATATCGGCCTAGAAAATCACAACTTTTCATTTTCCCGTTGGTCTTAGTACACGATGTAACTACAGAAGAGTCAAGTTTTAAATGGGAAAAATATAGAAACTCTTTGGTCTTTTTTGAGCGAGATGCTAACGGTCTAATCAGATTCAATGATCTATGCTAAGCTGCAGCTAAAAGTGCTACCGCCAGACCCGGAGATCGGCTGAATGGATTCGAAAACAGTAAAACTCAACTTTTTAACTCTAGGGGAGTTGGAAAATGAGCCTATTTTCAAAAATAGTGGAGTGTTCCTTTAACTCCTGTGCTTCTTAATTCCACTCTACCTATTTATGTCTGTGAATAGCGGCGGCATTCGATCCACACCATTACACAAAGAGTGGCTTGTCAAGACACAGGTACCTTCTGCTGTTATCAGTGAGACATTGAGAGCCCCGGTATCACTAATCAACGTGAGCTCCTCTATCTGAGAGCACGAGGCCGATTGTATCCTGAGATTCAGGGGTGAGGATTCATCAGACCCATCAGCGATCCGGCAACATCGATTCATTAAGCCCTAAGAGCCCCGGGACTTATCTACTAAGCAACAGACACCTCGTTGCCGCTTTGGAAAACCCAAAAAGGTCATGCAATTGCTATAGGATGCCATGGAAGTGCTTGCTGCAATGCAGTTGCCGTAGATTGCAGCCGTTGGGCTGCACAAGCTCTCTTTCGGTTGCGGGACGTCCTCTGGGAGCTCTCAATCAAACATATGCTGGAGGAAGAGAAGAAGAGACATGCGAATGAGATTAACACGACAGACAATGCAATCAACTCTTCGCATCCTTCATGAATGCAAAATCAAAGCATCGGTGATATGATATATGCACTATGCATGCAGAGCTCTGATAATTATGCCTATTCTGGCTTCAGTTTTGTCGCCTGCGTGTACCGCGGCGTCTCCAAACATGTGGAATATTCACTAAAGGTGAGAGTCTGCGGGCAGGTCCCGTGGCAGGTCACGTTTATTGTTCTCATTAAATGCATATTAAGATTAACTACTGAATAGACATTCTTGCTGCTCGTGTCAGAATCCTCATGTCAGGAATTTGTCAGCTATCTTCATTCCCTTGCCTCTGGGGTGTCTAGACTACTAATGTGGGGAGAAGGAGAATTCTTGCTCTTTCTAGGCATCGAATAATGAGTAGGTTTTTAGCAAGCATGTCTTTTTGGCTACCTTTCAACTCACAACACATCAACTCAAGTCATTAAGGAATACAGGGATGTTGAAGGGACAAAGATATAGTAAGCCTGGGGTTAGAACAGTCTGCTCTATATCTGGAGTTGTTCTTAATATGCTGACAATATCACCAAAATAATTATGCATGTGTTACCTACTGGCAGCTATTATGAAATACATCACACCCAAAAAGGATAGGAAATTTAAGAAGTTCTTAATCTCAGGGTAAAAAGCCCATTAGATTTTATTTTCTCCTAAACCTCTAAATGGCAACAAAATCTGTCCAATATTTAAGATTTTTAAAATGGTAAAATATTTTAGTTTTAATATATAAAATGTTGTGTAAAATAAAATAAAATAAATTATTATATAATAATAATTTTTAGATAATACACACTTATTATTCAAAATTTCAAAAGTTTGGGATCAGTATAATTGTTCTGTTTTTGACACAAACTGTCATATTGTGAAATATTATTACAATTTAAAATACCTCTATACATTTTAATATATAATATATCCCTGTGATGTCATTTTAATATTTTGATTTGCTGCTCGAGAAACTTTTCTTATTATCATATATATGGGGAAAATCTTACATTATAAATGGATTTATTTAATCAATTCAATGCCAAAAAAGTACCCCAAACTTGGTTGTAGAATGGTAGAATATAGTATACAAGTATATATGTTTATAAATATAATAATACACACATACAGCACATCTGCACATCTATAGCAACAGCAGACCAATTTGAGTCTAAGTCACAGATGAATAGTTTCTAAGAATCTGAGAACAATTCTGAGACTGTATCTGTATCAGTAGAATATCAACAGGAAAGAGAGGAGAGAGAAAAACAAAGAAAGAAACAAGGCCTTTAATAACTGAAGTGGGCAGTGCGATAAAGCATATAACTAGAGTAAGAGCTCATCCAGGACTCAGGGGCATGTTTAAATAACATTCAGTGCCTATTAAGGTTAACAGCTCTAACAAACTGATTTCCTCCACCTTTTCTACATCCTAAAGAATGCAGACAGGGGTTATTGAAACAATGAGAGGACAGCAGCTGATCTATGTAGAGCATTTTATTACGGCACATTATTCCTCTTATACTTCAGCTCTTTCTCAGACTGCCGGCTACGCCAATATGCTATGGGTTGTGACATCAGCAGAAAACTCTGGGAACAACATAACTAACTGCCAAACAATGCACAGGCTGAAGAATGGGAGCCTTTGTTCTAAAAATCACACAAAGTTAATCAGTCCACTCCATCTAAATAAACTGAAAGGACAGATAGCATGCCACAATCTGGGCTCTTCTGGGCCTTTTGGGGGACTCCAAAAAGCACACTCTTTCTGACCCGTTCCACCATCTTCCTAGAATTGGCAGGACAACCTGAAACAGGCCTTTAAGAAAATTAAGCATGTCATCTCGTCTCTTAATGGGATGTGAGGTGGCAAGAAATATAAAAAGGTGAATCAGAGTTTAAACACAGAGGGCTGTTCTAGCTAAAGAACACAGAGAGAGATGGGAGCCCAGCGGTGTGGAACAAGATTTAGATTGAGGAGACAGAAGGTTGTGACGTCACTACATGAATGTGACGTCAATACATGAATGTATTAATTTGCCTGTATTACACACTGATTTGGCACTGAGATATACAATACCAAGGCAGTCTGATACAAGGCAGATACAAATTAGGGATGCATGATATATGTCAAAAGTTTGTTAATTTCATTTAATTTTTGAAGTAAAATTAATACTTTTAAACTGATCAAAAGTAACATTGGTCATTCATCAGTTATCAGCCAAAACAATAGTTTATCAGTATCAGTCAGAATTGTAGAATGTTTTATATCACCTTTTATTATTTTTATTTTTAATCAAATTGACGTCAATAATTTAACATCAATTTACTAGAAATAACGATCAAGATAGGAGAAATAAAATGTATAAAATTACATAAAAAATGATCAATGTCACTTTTATTGATTATCTCTCCTAATAAATGTACATTTGTTTGTGAAGAAATA